GCACCTTACAGAATGCAAAGGCTATGTTAAAAGTTGTTATACTAGGGACCAGCATATGGCATAATGGCTACATCACTGGACTCCCATGTAGTTGACCGCGGTTCAAGTCCCGGACCCAGTGACTTAAACTCACGCCAGGCGCGTGAGCGTGCGTGCCCAAGATCCCGAGAGGAGAATGGAGGAGAAGGCACTGTGGAGTGGCCATCCACCCTGGGGGGTGATCTCTCACTTTGGTCTCTCTGTCTCTGTTTTTCTGGTGAACGCATGTACTCTATAGCAAAAACCTCTCCAAAAAAAAAGTTGTCATACTGTATTGTTTAAGGAATACTGACCAGAGAAAGTCTCTACATGTTCAGTACAGATGCAACCACCTTTTTCCTGAATATTCTCTATCGCAGTTGGTTGAATCTATGGATGAAGTACATGTGAATACGGAGGAGCAAACATACCTCATTCTAGGTTGCACTTTATGTAAAAGCACTTAACCTGGAGCCTGGAATATGGTAGGCTCTTAAATATTCCTTAACATTTAAATGTTTGTCAACTGAGAGGATCTTTTAAAAATTCATGATAGTGCATGAGAGAGAGGGGGCAGAGGAGTATACTGCCATAGGGCTCAGTCACACCAGATTCCCCTTCCTCCAGTCCTACGTCCTTCTAGCAGCCTGAACAACCATGCACCTGCATTTTTTAACAGAGGTTTTCGCTATAGGGCGTGTGCGCTCGCCAGAAAGACAGACAGAGACATAGAGACAGAAAATGAGAAATCACCTCCCCCAGGGGGGATGGTCACGCCGCAGTCCCTTCTCCTCCATTCTCCTCTCGGGATCTTGGGCACGCACGCACACACGCTGGTGTGAGTTTTAAGCCACCGGGTCCGGGACTCAAACTGTGGTCGACTACATGAGAGCCCAGCAACACAGCCATTACACCAACTGCTGGTTCTGCACCTGCACGTTTTGAGACCAAATGGGTTGAGACTAAAACCATAGTTGACATGTGGCTTTCAGCTTTGCCGTCCAGTACACTACCAACTGCCCCACAGAGGTTGGGACAGTTGAAAAGACTGTTAAAAACAATAAGTGAGGGTTGTACAACAATGGACAGGATTTGGAGGGTGACTTCTAAGACAAGAACTACTTCACGAAAACACGTAAGACTTGAGGAAGAAAGTAACCAAAACCATGTTTGTTCCGTACACATCTGTCAAGATTCAGGATGAATAGAGGAGATGCTTTCCAAGAGTCCTTGCATTTTCTCATTAGTACCTTTGTTAACTCCTGCACCTTTCTCTGTGGTTGCTAGTAAAAATTATACAAAAACTCTAGGTGGGAGTTCAGTGTTTTACCAGAGCTGGGCAGGGTAAGAAAGAAGTGGAAGAATATCTATCTCAATTTAAATTAATAGAGCCGGTTTGGCAGCAGGCTTGGGGGGGGGGTGGCACCCAGGTAGGAGAGTGGGTGGTGGCAGCAGAAGAGGCAAGAGAGCCAAACCCCTACTGCTTTCAAGAGGAAAACACACACACACACACACACACACACACGTGGTGAAAGGGGAGCTATTTAAGAACAAATTCTGGGGTTTCAACAAGGAGAAAAGCCTGTGTACCCCACATATCCTGCCATATCTGTTCATAACTTATGACCACAGTGTTTTTTCTGGAGCCCTCTTTCTTGGCCAATGTCTCTTCTATTTTCCAAGGCCACCTTGCTAACTGTGTCTCCTGACTAATGCATATTCTAACATTCCCACAGCAATGAGGTAAGTAACCCTGACCTCTCTAGCTGCATACTTTCAAGTCAAGGTTTTTTTACCATCCTGACGATCTTTTAGCTCACCCTCCTGAATCATCTGATCATATGGCTCAGGGTCACTTTTATCTGTCCAAGGTTTCATGGTATACCCTCAAGTAAAGGCTCCACAAACATCTGTTGGCTAATGGCAGAGTTTATAATCCAATTGAGAAGGCAATATACCCTTATGAAATGAAAAGTCATATAACTACAAGCACAAAATTAAAGAATACAAACTGAGTTCTTAGAGGTTCAGGAGATGCAAAGTAGGTAAGTGATCTGTCAGGTTGGACTAGTTGAGGAAAGTTTCCAAGAGCATGTAAGTTTTGAGCTTTGAATTGGAAATTTAAGGAGGTGATGGACATGAGTTGGTGGGGAGGTAGACCTTTTCAAACAAATGTACAAAGGAAGACAATGTGAGATATAACTCAAGCCAGGACAGGTACCTGCCCCACCCTCCCATTTTCCTGTCTCAGCAACTCTGCATGATCTGCCACCACACCTGTCTCGATTAGAAGAGAACTCCTTATGACCTGGTGCCCACCAAGCTCTCTCCTCTACCAAATTCACTACTCATGCATTGCTTACGAGGTACTCCAGGCTGGGTTGCAAGAGCAAAGTGGGGGAGGGGGTTGCAGAAAATGTTTGCTGGCGTTGGGAGAGACTATATCCCAACTCTCTAGTCTGGACTTCAGGTAGAAATATGTGGCCTCTGTATATCACCTATGTGACAGGTGGAGGACAAATGTATGTTGAATGGAAGGAGGCAGGAATATGAAGAACCAGGATGGCTATTTTACCATGAGGAGACTGATATCACTTTGAAAGCTCAGTGTGTTGCCACCTCTGAAAAGATTCCAGGTTGCATGGATATCCTTTCTTACAGGAAGATGGCCTCATCTTCACGGAATACATAGAGAGCAAAATTGTAAGTGATAAACATGTTAAATTATAGTCCCTGAGGCCAGCAGGTGGCATGATGGTTAAGGATCTGGGCTCCCACCTGGCAGGCTGCGTGGTTCACATTCCAGACCTACTGGCTTGAAAAACACGCCAGGTGCATGCACATGCATGTCCAAAATCTTGACAGGAGAATGAAAGAGAAGAGATTCAGTGTGGCCATCCCTCCTGGGAAGTGATTTTCACTTTCCCTCTTTCTATTTCTGTCTCTCTCCAGCAAGCACACTCATCCTATGCAAAAACCTAAAATAAAAAGAATTAAAAAAAACTATAGTCCCTGTACCTGGGAGCTTGCTGACTGGCAGGTAGATTGGAACATAGTCAGGCAGAAGATAGGAATGACACATTTATTTAGAAGTTGTTAAATGCAATATCATTTGTTCTTAGTTTCATTTATTTGTTTGATTAGCATTTATTGTACACTGTGGGATGCTTAGAGTCACACTGATACATAAACGTTGTCTCTGCCCTCAACTAAACTTCTCAGCTTATTAAAAAAAAAAAAAGACAAACAAGTAAACACATAATTACAATACAATATGGCTTGTGTTATATATCATAGGCCTGCACAAAATACTTAGGAATGCAGAAAAGGGAAAACTAACCACAACTGAGGAAGGTGGGGAAAGCTGAATACTTTACCAAAATAAGAGCCTTGGGGAGGGAATGAGGAGAGATGACTTGTCAGAATGCAGAAAGGTATAAAGAGGCATAGTCTGTCCAGAAAATAGTGTGTAACTCTGGTTGGAAACTTAAGTGTGCCTGAGGAAAGATGAAGCAGGAAAGGTGTGAAGTAGTCACTCAGAAGAGCCCAGTATGCCTTGCTAAGGGAGTTGGGACTTGATTGCACATGCAACAGGGAAAATCTGAAGTTTTAAGCGGATAAATGATATAATCATATATAAGTGATATGAGCCCAATCCTTCTGCCTTCTTGGACAAGTCATTTAATTTCAGAACATTTTTTTAAAGAATTACTTTATTTAATGTTTATTTTAATTTGGCCAGAGCGGAACAGAGAGAGGGAGAGCCACCAGGTCCAGGACTCCAACAGTGGTCAGCCATGTGGGAATCCAGCACCCTTAACCACCACGCCACCTGCCGGCCCCAATTTCAGAACATTTTTAACGTCTTCATCTATAAAATGGGGATAATAGTAGCACATATCTCACAGGACTGATTCGAGGAGTAAATGAGCTAACGTTCATGAAGCAATTAGCACAGTGACTGGCACATGAGTGCTCCATGCATTTTAGCTGTAATTAGCAGGCATGTTTCTTAGGAAGTCCACCTTGCCAGCAGGTCGGAACATAAACTGTAGCGAGGAAAAGATTGCTGAAAGAAGGTCCAATTAAGTTGATCTTGCAACCCAAGACCCCTTACAAATAAGGTCTTGAGTTAGGATTTGGAGGTAGGGAAGTTAGGAAGATGAGAAGTAAAGAAGGGTTAAGTATAGCTTGGGAGACGGGGTAGACCAGGACAACCATTAACCAAATTCAGAGATAAGGATAGCCAGAGAATAGGGGTGTGGGTGCAAGAACAGATAATGTGTTCACTTTCGTAACCGTTGAATGAGAAGCAAAGCCGTTGAAGATGGGAACCTGGGGAGCATCGATATTTAAGGAGAGGCCAGAAGAGCCCGTGGAGGACACTGGCGAGCCAGACCTCACAGTCAGTGCGCTCGGCCTCCGGGGGTGGAGGAGCAGCACCTGCTATCAGTGAAAGCACCCGTCTGTTACACAAACCCCCGCACCCAACTCCCCGACAGGCACACAGCCTACTCCCGTCCGCTGCAGGCTGCTTCTCAGTGTTCGGCTTCTCGTAGACCGCGCGTCTTTTCCTTCCGCCCTCTCCCAAAGGAACAAGGGAAAGGTCTAGCAATTCTCAACGCGGTCACCGAGGCGACCCCGGACCACGTGGACCACCAGGGAGGAGGAGGAGGAGGAAAGGGAGCACAAATGCTTTTCAAGAAGAGTCCGCAGCGACCTCTAATCATTCAGGTTGCACCTCCCAATATCCTGCCACGCCGCTCTCCTGCCGCGGGTCTCTGGCTCCTGGCCGCGAAGTAGGACGGGAGTTGTAGTCCTCAGGCCCGCCCCGGGTGGCACGACTGAAGAACTCGGTTTCCCAGCTGGCTCTCCCGGCGCGTGCGCAGATGGCTA